TCTAGCAGAGGCATATCTGCAAATCCAAGTGTCTTTTCATCTTGTGGAAGATCGTCAGACCAAAAGTTTTAGTGTTCCTGGTTATTTTGTAGGGCACTGTGGGACTGTGGTACCCAGCTCTGGTTAGGCTGCTCCGCAAATACTGTGTTCAGTTTTGGGCCCTTCATTACAAGAAACACATCAAGGCTCTGGAGCATGTCCAGAGAAGGGCAATGAAGCTGCAAAGGGTCTGGAGCACAATTATGGGAAGCAGCTGCGAGATTGCGTAGTCTGAAGAAAAGGCTCTGGGGAGACTTTATTGCTCTCTACAGTTCCCTTAAAGGAGGTCGTGGTGAGGTGGGGGTCAGCCTCTGCTCCCAGGTAACAGTGACAGGACTGTAGGGAGTGACCTCAAGTTGCATCAGGGGATGTTCAGGTTGGATATTAGGAAGAATTTCTTCTCAGAAAGAGTGGTTGGACATTGGAACAGGCTGCCCAGAGAAGTGGTGGAGTCACCACCCCTGCAGGTGTTTAAGGGACATGGGTTAGTGGGCATGGTGGGAATGGGTTGATGGTTGGGTGTGATGATCTTAGTGGTCTTTTTCAATCTTAATGATTCTATGACTTTGTACCACTGAAGTAGATACTGTGATCAGAAAAGCTGGTCCTTAATGCAGAAAAGAGAAGGGACAAGTACTCAGAGTAGTACTTGTTGGCATGGACTTAAAACTAGGTTGTCCTCACTTGCAGTGGATTGACTCCACCAGCTCAAATGTTCTGAGGTGTTTGCAACTGCCTTGCTGCATGCTGTAAAGCAGTTCACTTGCTTACACTGAATTTTCAGGAGCAATTGAACTGTTCGACTGCATGTCATAGAGAGCCAGGCTCTTAAGTGCACCAAGAGCTCTCCCAAATGGGCTGTAGCATCCAGCAGAGCTCTGCCAAAGCGTTGGATGAAAAATGGCCCTTGGCTTTCAGGAGCTGTATTTCCTTTGAAACAGAGCAACTGCATTGCTTAGCTTCACAGGACTGGTGGTAAGGGGAAAACCAAAGTGACAAGATGCAGAGATGCCAGGGGTGCAGGGTGCTGACTCCCAGCAGGAGGGACCCTAAAAGCAGACTTGGTGCTGGAGGGAAGCATTCTCATTCTACATGTACCTGTCCGTTTGTTCCAGCCAGATTTTATGGGCTTTCTTATTCAGCAAGTGCTTGTGTGTAGCTGTGCTGAAGCAGGGTCCCAGCAGGAGGAGTGCTGCTGGCTGTGGGAGGCAACCCAAAACAACAACAAGAGAAAGTGTCCAGATGAAAGGTCTGGTAAGCCTCAGAGTCTCCTCTGCCTTGTTTTCAAGCTCTTCTGTAATCAGCTGTCATATTGGGGTCTGGGCATCGTGGAGCTCGGCAAGTAGGGGCTGAAACTTAAACAAACAGTGACTCTTCTATAAATATTTAGCTCGCACTGTTTAGGAACTGCTGGAGCAGGAGACAAAATACATTTCAAGTTCATAACTGTCTGAAAAAACTACTGGAGGATGGCGCTTGATCAGTGAACCTGTTGACATGTAGGTTTTCCCCTGTTTTTCCAGAAGAAAAGGCCTTACTTAAGCACCCTTTGCAGAGAAGTGAGATTGTGCTCTGCCAGTGTTTGCATGTATTGTTTCTCCAAAAATACACTAGCAATGGTAAGACTGAGTTCCATGATCCCTGCTGCAATTAAGCTTGCCCTGCAAGCGCCTGAGAGCAGGGCTTGCCTCAGGACAGTTGCCACTTCTCTGGTGGAGAACTAATTTTGTCTTTGTTTTCACTGCAGCGGGCAGAAGCAACTTCAGGGACTGCGTCCTCTCCTTTGAGATCAGAGGCACTGTGGTTTTAGTGGCTGCCACGCAGGTTGCAGAGGTTGGATCGCTCTGTGCTGCTTGGGTTTGGGTACTGATCCAGAGGGCTCCAGATCTTGGGACTTTAGGCTTTGTGCCCCATGTTGTTGCAGTATGATGGTCCAAGCCAAAGCATCACTGAGATTAATGGGTTTCAGAGCATGACTGTGCTGCACTGGAGTTTCAAATTAGTGTGAAGATGTCCTGCTGTTTGGTGTCCAAGAGGAGCTGGGACTTCTTGCTGGCAGTCTGAGAGATGGAGGAAAAGGATAATGACCCTTTCTCTGCAAACATCTGGAAGTCGAGAATGCAGCTGTGGGGCATGAAGACCTTTATGAGCACATACTTTGGCTGGCTGCCATGATACCAGGATAGTTGCTGGCTGCGTGGCCAGGCCGTGTGAGCAGCCCTAAATCTTGGGCTGCCACATTGTTCCTGCTCTTGCAAAAGCCTCGATAGGGAGGTGGGCCTGTCCCTGTCAGCCTTTCTTTGCCTCTTAAATATGAAGATAATATCCTTTGTTTACCTTGCAGAACTCTTGCAAGAATGGGAAAGAATGAAACACGCTGATAAGAAATGGTATCAGTAGCTGAGACGGGCAGATGCACATGTGCTTTGAATAAGGAGAACGCTTCACTGGCACAGACAAAGGTCTGGGATTGTTGATTAAAAAGAAAAGAAGATCAATTATCGATTGTTTTATTTCTTCCCTTGTATTCTAAAACAAAGCAGTTTAAAAACAAAACAAAAAAAAACACCAAAAACTTTTTTTAACTTTTTTTTCCCGGTGCCTGCCCTGCAGCTTTGTACCAGAGTTGTCTTTACCAAAATGCCAATCACCCCTGCCACCCTGCTCCTCCCTGCTGCACATTGCTCAAAAAAACTTTACTCAGTGATGAAAATTCCTGAATTTTGCTGTGGAAGAAAGAAATTTAGAGTGCAGAAGGGCGTAGGAGTTGACTTGTGGAGCAGCTCCACCAGCTGCTGCCTGGTCCTTTGGAGGAAAGCAGCACTGGCACAGGTTGCCCAGAGAGATTGTGGGGTCTTTCCTTGGAGATCTCCAAAAGCCAACTGGATATGGTCCTGGACCCGGTTGCTCAGGGCCTTGTCCAGCCTGACTTTGAATTTCTTCAAGGAGGGGCATCCACCACCTCTCTGGTCCCTGCCAACTTGTAGAGGTGAGGGTTTCATAGATAGATTCAGGCAGTTGAACAGTACAGTGGAAAACCAGTGAGCTAGTTCCTTAACTGAACCTCTTTGCCATCAGCCTGAAGCATGTGATTGACCTTATCTTAAGTTGCAAAATTAAAAAGGAAAAAAAACCCAAACTGATAACTTGTCAGAGGAGAGCAAGTGTAGCAAAATATTTTGCATCCCTTGCAAGAAGTTTGGTGTTTGCTTGAACTGCCTCTGCCCCTAGCTCTACTCCTCTTTCTGAAGCTGTGAGGAGAACCCAGCAGAAGTGCAAGCAGTGCCTGAGTGCTTTGTATGCAAGGACAAGAGGCAATGGCTTTAAGTTGTGCTGGGAGACGTTCAGGTTGGTTATTAGGAAAAACTTCTCAGAAGGGGTGGTGAGGCATTGGCACAGGCTGCCCAGGGAGTGGTGGAGTCTCTGTCCGTGGAGGTATTCAAGAACCATGGAAATGTGGCACTGAGGGGCATGGGTTAGTGGGCATGGTGGGGACTGGTTGATGGTTGGACTAGATGACTAGATGGTCTTTTCCAGCCTTACTGATATTACGATTCTGTGATTCAGGGAGGGGCCACAGAGCCAATGTGGGGCAAGGGCGAGTAAGGGAAAGGTAAATTCTTTGGTTGCCAGCTCATTGAAACCGCTTTTGGTGCTTGAGAGAAAACGTCAGTGTTTGAGTTGGATGTGACAGCAGGCTTGATGGTTTTTCTCTTTCAATAGTTTCTTTGAATGTTCTTTTTAATTTAAAAGGAGGGTTTAAAATTATTAGTGTTTTGCCTCCCATGCAGAGGGATTCCAAAGCTCTCTGCAAATCTCTGCTACAACATCTAATGTAAAAAATAGCCTCATGGTTTTTCCCAACTTCATCCTTGACAGAAGCCACTCCTTGAATTCACGCAAAGCACTAAATCTGCAGAAGTGAAGAAAGGGGACGTTGATTTATGTAGAAGGTAATTTTCTTAAATGGTGTTGAGCCAGAAAATACAAAGATGATAATGATTTTTCTTTTGGCATAGGCTTTCCAGATTTCCATGTTTCTGACTTGCTGAAGCAACGCCTCCTGCCAGGGCTGAGCGTCGGTGCTCGGACTGGGATGCTGAGCACTGCCCAAGAGGGGAAGGTGCCCAAATTCCGCAGCATCCCAGCACAGGAGGCAGGGACCAGAGCCAAGGCTCTGGACATTAGCCTGTGCAAAAGCTGCAGTGAGAGCTAAAGCCTCCTGTTGGATTTATGACACATTTGCCTGTTGAACCTCCCTGTTCACTTTGGGTATTTGTCCTGATTTTGTACCAAATCTCCTTGCTACTTGAACTGATCCATAGGCAAGCAGAAAGAATAAATTATTATAACTTTGGCTCAGGGCAGCTGTCCAAGGGATATATTGGGACACACTTGGCCTTTGAAAAGAGGGACTTCAGTCTCCAGGCCTGTCAGTCCCTCTGGCTCCTGGAAGTTTTCCTTCCAAATGGTTACTTCTAACCTCATTGAAGAAGTTTGTGTTTTTCAGGGCTATGATTAATTCCGTTTTTACGCTTCGTTGCAAAATGCCACACAATAAATGAGACCAGCAGGGTGGTGTTTTATAGTGGGGGAGTGGAAAACATCAAACAAATGCTTTCAGATGCTGTTTTGGAGCAGTGGTGTGTGTGTGTGTTGTATAATCTCTTGCAAACTGTGGGGTTTTGTTCCTATTAAAAGGAAGGGGGGGAAAAAAAAAAAAGCTTCATATGTGGAAAGAATGTTAGAAATACTTGAGAAATTGAATAATTACAGTCTTTTTGCACCGGGTCAGTGAAAGCTAAGTGAAGGTGCAGAGTTGCAAAATAATACATCACTGAAAACTGGCAGAGCACACTCTTTCATCTCAGGTCTATGTTCCTGAGAGTCAGATGGCATCTCTTAGTCATGGGTGGAGATTGCCTCTTACTCTCTCATTGCTCCCCGGCATCTTCCTACAGATCTGAAAGTCCTCAGGGTACCCTGTGCTGTGTGGTGCAGAGTTGTGGACAGCACTCAGCCCTTCCCTGTCCCAGGAATGCTGGCCTGTTGCCTTCACTGAGCACCACTGGATCCATCTGCGTGCTCTCCGTCACTTTCTGTGGAGGAGATCCTCCTTATTGAATGGGAAGGTATGTGATCCTAGTTGTGCTTCACTGACTTCAGTTTTCCTTCCCTGGCATGGCCTCTTGGTACCACATGGTCGAGGGCCTGAGTCATGTCACCACAGGAATGTGAGACTCATTATCAACCTCAAATGAGGCTTATTATACCTCTGAAGTGTTCAGTGACAAATGGAGCTGCAGCATGAGGTACTGGCCCTGTTGCAGCAGCCCTCAGCTTCCCAGGAAAGCTCTCAGTCTCAGTATCAGACCTTACAGAAAAGAGGCTGAAGCATTGTTGTGTGCCCAGATTCTGCATACTGAGGACTCACAGGATGCTCGTATATGATACTGAGATTTATTTCCTGGTAGGACGTTGGCTCACCTGGTAGGACAGAGCTCACCTGTGGCTGTGTGCACATCCTTGACCCATGAAAAGCATGAGCAAGCAGCCCCGAGTCTGCACATGTGGCCTTGTTCCTTCTCCTTGTCTGTAGTGTTTCCTCCTGTCCTCCTTCCCTGGAAAGCAACAGCCTTGTTTGTTGTCCAGGGTGCCTTCTTCTTCCTTCAAGCCACTTGCTTTTCATGCTGTTTTGGTTCCTGATAAGCAGTGGGAATGACAGGAATGAGGTGATGGTTACCCGTGAGCATTCAGCTCCCACTGCCCGCAGACTCATCCTGTCAGCATGTGCAGCCCTCATGCCAGTGACACGGGTGTTTTCTCATTAAAAATAGACCACAGACAATGCCACTTCCCGAGGACTGTGATTTATCATTTAACAACAAGTGGTTACTCATTTCCTTTGGAAAACTTTCTGGAAGTGTTATTTTGCTTTCTCCCCTTGCTTCCCTTTATTTTATTTTATTTTCTTAAATTTCTTTCTAAACCCTACATTATTCTTCCCAACAGCTGCTCTTTTTAAATGAAATGTTCCTTTTTCCAGTGGAATTAATGTTTATGAGACAAAGATCATGGGAAAAAAATCATTAACCCTTTGGATATTTGCTTTTTGTTGTGAGTCCCTGAAGCACTGGAGCTCAGCCATGAGCAATCAGTGAAGAGATTGGTGAGGCCTACTTGGAAAATAAGACTTGAAGAAAAATCAGAAGATTGTGATCCCTGATGAAGAGTGGATAATAAATCTTAGGAAAGCTTGGAATAACTGCAGAACTCATCCATCTTCACTCGCGCTGTATTACCAGCTCTGAGCTGTGCTACCGACCGATGCAGTGGTTTGTCATGAGGGATGGAGGGGTTGCAGAGTTAGGAGGAAAACCTGTATCAGTCCTGAGATTTTAGTGACTGTACCAAAACAAAGTGCTGGAAGATGTTGGGTAGTTCCTGAGGATATCCTGCTATTTTGACAACCAAACTTGGGAAATATGATGAAATAGTCATAACTGAGTATTTAAGAAGCAATACTTCGAAAACAGTTTGCTGTAGGATCGAAAGGGTGTTTTGAGTGGTCTGCTTAGGGTCTACTTTCTCTAGCGAATTGAGAGGTAGACTGCAAAGGACATGAGTGTAACCAGAGGTGTTGATGATACTTCACTCAATAGTCTCCTTGTTTACAGTTGTCTTAATGAGTTACAGGGGTAGTCTGAAGACAAGAAAAATAAATTCAGTAAAGACAAGTGCAAATTAGTGCAGTTGGCAATTGAATGCATGTACCCAAAATGAACAATAACACGTTAACTGCAGAAAGGACCTGAGAGATGCAGCGAATCATAAACTGATTGTGTATTAAGGATTGGATGGTGTTACAAGAAAGGCAGACCTCAAATAGCCTACAGAAAAATGGCAAAGGTAACAATTCAGTCTGTGTTGTCTCATGGAACCTTGCTTCAAGTAGAGCATCCATCCTCTATGTTTTTAATATTTTCATATTTATATTCCCAAGCAGGCAGCTTGGGAAGATGAAGCTTCTGTTTGGGAAGCTTCACTTACAAGGAATGGCTGGAAGATTTGCATACGCTAAACTTAGGGGGAAAAATAACAACCACCGCAGGTGCTGGGTATGATTTGATGGGATGCTGTCTTCAGCACTTATTTCACAACGTAGCGACATGTTTTGGCCAGGACAGTGGATAAGATGCAGGAGGCAGGGCAGGAAGAGGAGAGACAGCTGGACATCTGCTTTGGATCACGCTTTGATGGGAATGGTGGATTTGAAGCACCCAGAAAGGTGTCAGTCAGCATCTCCTCTTGTCTGAGCCCAGGACCAGCAGAAAGCTGCCCAGGAGGACGTGGTTTCTGGCTGCTGCCTTGCAGTCGTGCCCAGTGGCAGTGGGGCAGGCTGCTATTTCTCAGAGTATAGGTTTCAGTTCATCGTGGTGGTGGTGAGGGAAAATGAATGCTTCTGGATCTGGCCCAATAAGTGTTAGAAAATGCTTTGTTAGCAGCACAGCAGCCCTTCCCGGATGGCAGGGAGAAGGCTGCTGGTGGCTGGGAACTGCGGCTGAGACCGGCTTCCTTCTTGGCAGAAGCCAAGCTGGTGTTGCCTTGGAGAGTGGCGCAGAGACAAATAAGCTGAGTGGCCTGGGGCTAGATGGCTGCTGGACCTCTCTGCAGCCCTTGCATCTGAGTTCTGGCTTGCTTCTGGCTGCTGCGCTTTGGTTCTGCTGAGTCCCATCATCCAGACCAGATTTCCGACGTGACAGCATTACACTGGGCTTTTGACTCTTGGTTCAGTTGACCACAAACTGGTCACTCTGTGCTGATGCAAACTGCTGATTTCCTCCTCCATGAATGCTGAACCAAATACCCCTACAGCGGCTATCTGACGGTGTTCACAGCTGCTGGGAATGCTCTTGGGTCCTGCAAGCCAGGATGATTCAAGCTGATACTCATGCTTACAATAAATGTTAAATGCTGAGTCTATTCTGCCCTACCAGCTGTAACCCCGAGGGGAAAAAGGGGTTTTACTGCAAGAAGAAAGACTTTTCTCATTGATATTAAGAATGCGTAGCAGCAAAACTAAACCAGTGTGTGCCAGCTTTTAAAATAACAGGAGGATATAAAAGTGCCTTGAGAGGAAGATTACAGATAGGCAGAGCTACTGGGTACGCCTGCTTCTTTTTGTAAGCTGTAGAACCTTCCCATGTGTTGTGCAGGGTCATTGCCGGCTGTGATCCCACACTGAGCATGGCATCTGGGCATGGTGTCTCGGAGGAAGATGTGAGTTTTGCTACCAAAATCTGGGTTTCAGCTCTAACTCAGTCAGGGCTAAAATTTCCCTTGGAAAAAAAAAAAAAGAAAAAAAGGAAGCTTGATTGTGACATGCAGCACTGAATCTAACTAGTTCAAAAAACAATTTCAATTTGTTTTATAAAGTTGACAGGGAAGGTTAAGAAGTAAATAAGTGATTTGGCCTCTTCATGGCTAATAGGCTGGGACTTAGCTGGAAAGAAGTCAAATGCAACTGTAAACCCATGCTGCAGGGAGGTGAGCGGTTGGCAACCGTGCTGCACATGCTGACAGGAGTTCTTGTAAATAAAACCAAGAGGGGTTTTAGTGCAAAGCATGGAGCAAAGAGCTCCCACGGGGCAGCGGTCTGTGTTGCAGCATGTGCAAGGTTTGTTGGATGTGGACTTGATCTAAGGAGGAAATACTTGTTTTGATTTGATTTGATTTGATTTGCTTTCAGCAGAAGGCCTGAAGACTTCCAGGCGGTTCCTCCACACCGTGTTGTATCAGTGCAAGTGTCCTCCAATCGAGTTTGCTGAGTGCTGAGCTTATGCCAGTGCTGAACTGTGAAGCTGCAGTCTCAGGTGCAAAGCAAGAGGAGTAGCAGCGAACTTCTTGTCCCAGGGGAGATACTGTGGCTCTGAGAGTCAACTCACTGCATGCTGCTCCCACTTGCCCAGTCTGGGGTCACTGTGCTGTTGCAGGGTGGCATGGAGGAAAGCTGCTTGTATGGTGCCAGAGTTATTCCACGCAATCGCCTCCTTGCTCAGCATCAAGCCTTGCTTTCATAGCATCATTGTAGAATGGCTTGGGTTGAAAGGGTCTTTAGAGACCACCCAGTTCCAACCCTCTGTTGTGAATAGAGTTGCATGCCACTAGATCAGGTTGCCCAGTTCCCCATCCAACCTAATGCTTTGCTTCACTGGAGATTCATGTAGGGACCTCATTTGGATGCATCTCTGGAGGACGGGTTCTATATGCCCTCGGTGCACATCTGTGCTTGTTTTAATAACATTACTGAGGCAGTGTAAGTGGCTGTAACTACTCAACGTTCTGGCTAAGCACAGCCCTTTTGCCAGGCTCTTGCATGTGTCTGGGTTAGCACTGCCTGTCCCAGACACTGTGTCTGTCAGGTCCTTGCTCCCTACATCTGCTGAAGGGCTAGTAAAGCTTCTAAGAACTTTCTCCCTACAAGCCCCAGACTGACAGCAAACATGGTTAATTCATCATCTGAGCACTGGGAAAGCATGCATACAGGGAGCTCCTGCAGCACGGAGCCCCTGGAGCATCCTCAGAGGTCAGACTTCATAGTGTTGGTTCAGCCACTATCCCACTGGCCCAAATCTGGGGAAACTGGGGCCTCCCATCCACTTCAGCAGCCTCTGAATTCGACCTTCATGAAGAAACTAGTGAGAGGTGTCTGTGTACTAGCATGCAAGTATTTCTCAACTCCACAAGTCAGCTGTTGTGCTGCAGCTGTATGCTACAGAGTGAGCAGTAGGGAAAGTGGGAGGTGAGGACAGTGATGCTGCAATGTGGGAAAAGATGGGAAATTTTTAAACTGATAAAACATATTTTATGAGTGTGAAATGGACTGGCTGTCGACTGAGCTGCATGTTTTGCAGCCTTCATTGCTGGGTGCCAGGTAGGTTCCCATTATGTTGTTTGTTGCCTTAGCAATGTGCAGGATGACTGTCCATGTCTACCTGGCACTTGATTTCATGGCATTCTGGTGTTTGAAAGCTGTCTCATCTGCTCTGAACCTGGGAGAGGGAGCAGTAAGTGCTTGAAGGGGAGAACTCATTTGGGGCATCAGCCTTCTCCCTTTGACATGCCGTGTCTTGCCTCTACCTGTCTGCTCAACATCAATCCCAAATGCTGATCCAGAGGCACAACAAAGGCAGCAGAAGCAAAAGAGATCCCCAGACCACATCTTTAGGGAGGGACAGTGGATTTGACCCTGGAGAGGTTGATGGCAAAGGCAGGAGGAGGGAATTGGATGCAAGATCCCAAGGAGGACCTTGTGATTATCCACTGGGAGATACTCGGTGTCTTTTTCTTCCCTCAGTGCACTTGTCCTGGAGCTCTTGGTGCTGCAGTGTACTTGCACTGGGAAGTGGATAGGCTTTGCCAGCACCTGGCTTTTCCATGGCTGTCCCCATTTTTCCTCTTCGCCCTGTCCAGGTCCAGGGACTGTCAGTGCAGGAAGCATTGCCCATCACCTCCCTTCATTTTTTCCTCTCTCTCTTGGTGCCAAGTTGCTCTGATAGACTTTGGCTTGTGTCCCAGAAACAGCCTCTGAACACACACAGACCGGGAAGGCTAAAATAACACTTTAAAATTGTTAAATAAATAGCAGTCGGTCTCTGTTAAATGGGAAACACAGCTTAATTTGTTATATTTTTTTGTCCTCCCTTGGACAGGGAATTGGGGCGTGTGTGCATGTCTGTAGAGTGGTTCTTGTCGTAATCCATCTGCTGTAGCCCCAAGTGGGCAGAGGAGGGTTATGCGACTCCGAGTTACCAAACACTTACAGTAAAAGTGTAGTCATCCTGAACCTCATCCAAAGAGCCTTAGTTTTTTTGTTGGCTTTTTTGTTTTACTTTTTTTTTTTTTTCCTCTCTCCTGCCAGGATGCTGCTGCGTCACTTGCATTCTTCACCCCTCCTGCCTTGTTGGGAAGGAGCAACCCTCCGAAGCCGGCGGTAACTCTTTCCAGGCTTCTCACAGCAGTGGTTGGGGCCCTTCTGTGCTGCTTTGCTCCATCCCAAAACACTTCAGGACCACAGGGTCACCACCTAGGGTTTGCTCTGTAGCAGTGCTGGTATTCCCTGTGCCAGACTGCCTCCTGAAAAGCTCTTGTCTCTCCCTGACACATTCTCAGATCTCGAGTAAAAATAGTGTAACGATTATTGTAGTGTGGGAGAGCAGGGAACGCTGCAGGAAGCATTTGGAAAATGTCTGTTGCAAATGGCTGCCAGCAAAGATTGAGTAGGAGCAGGGATTGACTTAGTCACTCAAAGCTGTATGTCAGTGTGAGAAAGTCTCATCCTTCTTGGGTCTTTCTAGCGAGGACATCCCCCTGGGGATTGGCTGCAGGTCCCAGGGATCCAGTTCGGGGCTGGATGAATGCAGGGGGTATACCTGCACTCGATACATCCCAACCTGCTCTTCTCTTAGGCTTCTCTTCTTTTTATTTGTTTGTTTTTGGGGCTTTTTTTTGGGGGGGGAAGGAGAGGGGCATTTGAATTACCCCAACCAACCCAGTGTTTTGGATATTAGAAACTTGTCAGTGTGTTGGCCACATGGGAGGCAATTGTTTCTTGCTGATTATCTGCATGGCAAAAAAAAAAAAAAAACACAAAAAAACCCTTACTTCATTACAGCGTCAAAATTGTCCATTTCATTCCTCAACTTCCTGAAGCTGTCAGTGTGGGGTGAGCTGCAGGAGCTCTGAATCCTTGGTGAGAGCGGGGTAAAACAGCAGAAGTGGCCTGAGCAGGAATAACCCAACTTCAGAAGGGGAGGAAGTGAATGTCTGACTACAACCTGCATGCCTGTACTTAAGTATGGCAGCGATAGCCTGAGCATGGTGATCTTGAGCATCAGTGTTGTTGCAGTGATGGAAACAGCTGATTCTAGATAAAAAGAGGAAGATTTGGTAGAATATATCATGATATTTTTTAGATGCTTCAAATTTTGTCTTTTTTCCACCATGATGTAAGTGCAGAGGTTGCTCCACTTTGAATGGGTATTTTACATGAGCCTGCCTCTCAAATTAAGTAGGATCATGTTTCTTCAGCATTTAGTGTGAATCTTGATGCCTGGTGGTGTATTTCAACCTTCCAAAGAGACATGCAAGAATAAAGCACGATGATTCACTGCATACTAAAATGCTCTACATGTAAAATAATAATGATAAATAAATAGAAAAGTTGCTGTTTCAGCTTTGCAATAAAACTATAAAACTCACCAGCCAGTAAACAGTGGATCTCCTGTTCCCATGGAGAAGAGCTGCTGCAGACCTAAAAGCTTGCTGTGGGAAAGAAAAGAAATATAAATCAAAAAGATCCACTCATGGTCTTGCAAACAAAGGTTGCCTTGGATTGTGGTCACATGTTGCCGTTCAGCTGATCGAGTTCATGCCAAAAGGGGAAAGATTTCTAGTACTTGCTTGAACCCCACTGAACTGGTTTAGGGAATTAATTAGAGGAAAACTCTTCACCTTTGTTTTTTCCCTCGCTGGTTTTCTCCTAGACCCGATGGCCCTGCGTGAACTCACCAGCCCAGCCACCCCTTCCATGACTTGTGGCCACTGAGTGAACTTGACTGTGATTTAAATTGCACCCTCAGCAAAGGGGCTTTGGCTTCTCCCTGCTGAGGGAGAAGGAGCCTGCCAAATACCCAAATCTGAGCTTTGTAAATCATACCCAGCAATTCTCGGTGGCCAACTTGCTTCAAGGATATAAGGAGGAGGAACACCTGCGAGACCTTCTGGGGGTGAATTGCAACCCCTGTATATATAAAAGGTGTTGATAAGCTGGTGTTGCTGGCAACCCTCCTGGCCTGACCTAATGCTCTGTGTGCATATGTTCTGTAAATAAAGATCAGGGCAGGCTTCTTCCCTTGAACACATCCTCTGTCCACGCCTATGGAGGTATTCAGGAAACCTTCCTAAGGCTGGGCATTGGAGGTTGCATGAAAATTTCCAAAATCTTTGGCTTCACACATTTGGTGTTAAGGTACATACATGTGTTGCATGCATCACGCGTAGTTTTGAGGACAAACTCAGTGCAGCAGGCTTAGCTCTCATCCCAGGCAGTTTTCTCAGGGCTCTGGACTTGCATCTAATTTTTACAAAGCTCATCAGATGGCTGGTACCAGAGTGCTTTTCTTTGAGGGATACTGTATCAGCACAGTTGGGTATTGGATTGCTTTCCAGAATTTTCTTGCCTTCCATGCCTCGGGGCTTTTTTTGGCGAAGGTTCCATCACACACTGATCCTGCTGTCTTCTGTAGCAGATGAGCCCTGGGTTCCTGGCTTGCACTTTCACCTAAGGGTGAAAGTGGTAGGATGAAGTCGTATATCCAGACCTGTTAGTCTGGAGTACAATGGTGGTGGTTATATGCCTCTTTTTTTTTTTTTTTTTTTTAACCTTGCATTAGGGTGTGCTGAAGGAAGCAGGGATGAAAACACTGTAGGTTGAAATTACCCAGTAAAGAGCCTGAATCAGCTGCAGAGGATACTGAAAATCTTGGTTACAGACCCTTTTTTTATTTTTTCAATATTATTATATCATGCAGTGAAAAAGCATATCTGTTTCTTGGGTGAGGTCTTCCCGAGTTGACTGTGCTTCCCTGTGGCACGGCACACTTTCTTTGTAGCATCCCGCATGGGAGATGAAAGGGTTTGATGTATACTGCCTTCAGGGCAGTGTGGATTTCTCCTCAAAAACGCAGATTCTAGTTTTAAATGCCTAAAAAATGAGACCTGTGCCTTATCTCTTGGGAGATCGTTGATGGATCCATTCCTCAAAAAGATATTTTATTCATTCAAACTATTCAGTTCTTTAATTCAGTGCCACTCCCTTCATTCGGATGCCTGGAGTCTTTTATCATGTCTCCTCTTACTCATTGCTTAGCCAAGTTAGACATACTTAGTTCTTTTAATCTTTCCTAGTAACTGAGTGTCTTTAATCATCGTGCTTGATGTCAGAGTGTTTGATGCCCACTTTTTCTGAAAGTAAGCCTGGATTTTGTGTGTGTGCAAATCACTTGGGAAGTGATCCAGGAGAGCAGGAGTAGCTGAGCAGCTGCAGCTGGTTGCACAGGCTCACTCCTGGATTCCTCAAAAGCTCCCTCAAATATCCCAGTGTGGGTGCTGAGGAAGATTCTTGGCTCACCTCATATGCCAGCAGACTTGGCACGCTTGGGGATTAATTAATGTTTTTGTTGGATGTGGGCAGCAGCTCCCCTGAAGACGTCTCATGGCTTGGCTTTCCAGAGGCACATTTCTCTGGACTTCCATGGAACTAATTGAAGATGCAGGTGTAGATTATGTTTGCAGAAAACAGGCCCAGAAAGGTTACTGAAACTTACATTTCCTTCTCTTACCCTCAGCAACAAGAGCAAGATAGAGGCTTAATTTCTTTCTACAAAATCAATAGCAAAGCTAAGGGATGGGTTGTTTTTTGGGAGCAGTGATTTTGCTACATGCTGTTAGTGCAGCTCATCTACTCTTGCTGCAGGTATTACTGTTGATTTTCCAGATGAGTTCATATATTTGCACCTGAAAATAATCATTCACAAATTCTTAAATCAGTGTGAATGTAGGGATTATTGCTATCTGTTACTGAGCTATGCAGTGTATCATCTCAGCATGGTGTCGTCAGACTTGGCTTTGTGGAGGTAAGCATCTGCTTTCCTTCTTTGACACAGAAGTCCACAATTTATTCCATCTTATTTCAGTGGGAGCTGTTGGTATTTCTCTGTTTCAGAAAGGCTGGCCTGATCCAAGCCTAGTGTCGACTCACTTGGTTAAATGCAGCACATCTCTGGTTTGCTGGCGTCAGCACTGAGGGAGCTCGGGGTGGCACCTCTGAGTGAAGGAGGAGCATGGACTTTGAATCACACAGTATTTGGCAGCAAATTAAAGAAGGCCAAAGACTGCCTGTCCCTCCCCCTCATCCTATTCTGCAAGAATGCTTCTCATACTTCCCAAACTTAGCAGTGCAAATGTCACTGGGTTAAGTACACTGCCTGACGATGCTATTCTGATGTTAATAAAGGTCCCATTCCCCCCCACTGTGGTTCAAACTCCGTCTACCAAAGGCACTGTGTGATATACAGCTACCCTTACAGGGGGTCCTGTGGGCTGGGAGGGAGAAGAAGAGCAAGACCTGGTTTGGGGAGAAAGCAGCGCTGCAGCACAGAGCAGCACCTGGTGCCCACTGGATGTCCCTTGTCACCCTTGGGTGACCAGAGTGTAGTGTGGGATGTCCCTAAGGCCTGGAGATGTCCACCAGGAAAAGTGTGTGCCCTCTTGGTGATGCTCGTGCCGTCTTGGCGAACATCCCAGGAGCACCACATCATCTGGAGGAGCCAGCAGGCTTGTTTTGGTGCTGCACTGCTGATTCACTGCAGGTGTTCGCCATGAGATGGGCACAGCACTGTAGAACACCATCCCCACCCCAGGGGCACGTCACACCCTGCATGCAATTACATTCACGTCGCTGGAGGATTTTCACTCCCTACCTTTGATTGCAACCTTGGGGGCTGGAGTGATAACTTTCATATATAATTGGTTCACTTTACAGCAGTAGTTTGAAGAAGAGAGGAAATGAAGCTTTTTGGTTGGAGGGAAGGGACAGGGTTTGGCTTGCTGACATTTCTTTTGTTGCGATGTTGTATAGGTCTCGCTTGACTGAAAAAAGGAGAAAGGAGGAGTGTGTGCAGGGAGTTCAGGTCCCGCTGTGGCTTCTTGGGAAGTGAGGTGAGTCGTGACAGCCTTCAGTGCTGCTAAGCTCAGACGTACAAATGCCTGGGCTTCCTGGCAGCCTTTGGGTGAGACCCCTTCTTCTGAGCCTCCAGATTTTTTTGTTATGGGTTTCTTTGTGTTTTCACTCTTCCAGGCTGATGGGAAGATTTTAGACCGCTGATGTGATCCTACAGAAGGATGTAGGATCACACAAAACTTATTTCTGACTGTGGCTTTGGCTGTGTTTGAGATTCACAGCACGGGACTGCATTCCCTTACATTGTTAGTGTATGGTCTGCATTTGTCTGGTTGAATTCTATGTCTGCCCACGTGCGGGAGGACTTGAGTCCGGTATGTTTCTTGTGGCTTTGGATATTGAGAACTTGGGCCTCTGCTAACCTAACAAGTGCCCTTGAGTTTTCTTCTCTTTTGAGAGGAGTCTGGACACAGCCCATATCTGTGAGCTTGTCTGAGCCTGCCCTCTGCGCTCATACACCCTGACAGGCAGCATAAGCACGTTCCTGAGGGTAAGGTATCATCACCAAGGCAGTGCAGTCCAGCTGGGCCATGTCTCACTAGCTGTGGCGGTCCTGGTAGGGACCAGCAAGATATCTGTTGTGCCAGCGTCCTGAACTCAGAGAATTGTCAAATATCCAGGGCTGGAAGGGACCCAAGAGAGTTATCAAGTACAACTCCTGGCTCCACACAGGACCACCTAAAATTCAAACCCTATGTCTGAGAGCAGTGTCCATAAACAGTACCCTGGGCAGCCCGTTCCATGCCCACCACCCCCTGGTGCACACCCTGTCCCTGACCCCCACCTGAACGCAGCTCCATGCCGTTCCCTGGGCCCTGTCGCTGTCACACAGCAGAGCTCAGCGCTGCCCTCCGCTCCCTGTGAGGAGCTGCAGCCGCCATCAGGCCTCCCCTCAGCTCCTCTGCTCTGTGCTGAGCGCACCCAGGGACTTCAGCTGCTTCTCACATGTCTTGCTTTCCGTACCCTTCACTATCTCTGTAGCCCTCCTTTGGACGCTGAAAGTTTTGTGTCTTTATGCTGTGACAGACAGCCTGAACAGCACACAGTGACTCAGCACCAATGCTGGAACCAGTAGTGGGATGGTAGTACTGAAATACACAGTATCCCACTAACTCAGCAGTGGTCTGCAGATGTGAAAAGGTGAAGAAATGAGCCCTGTGTGTTAGGGCTCTCTTGTTCAGCATTTCTTTTGAGATCTTTTGTGCACATCACTGCATCTCCCATGCGCTGGAAATTCCCTCTAGATATCCATCTGCCTTTGCTGAGCTGTCTCCTCCCCTTCACTTCCTCACCATAAGCCTTTTTAGGACAGCAACTTTCTTTTCTGCGTGTATTTGCGGAATGCTCAGCATGCGCTGTTCAGTCCATACTGCAGTGTGACTAAATATGTTATAAAAATGGATAATCTTTAGATAGACAAGCTTTTTTATCTTTCTCTTTTATCAACTGTGACTCTGGAGGGCCTTTGTATGCTTCTGTCTCCCTGATGCCCTACATGTGCTTTCAGAGGTGTAACCCATTGCCTTGTGTTGAGAAGGGGACTGATGTTGATGCGTTTTCAAGATTCTCACTTGAGATCAAGGAAAATACATAATTTGCTGCATTATGTAACTGTTGTTCACTTGTAAGTTGGCGAATAGAGAGAATGTGAGAGTGTCTGTATAGTGAAGGAAAAAGAATCACTAAGATTGTATGGTTCACCCTCCTTGACCGAGCTCTCACCCCATCCAAATGGGGGCTGTGTACATCTTCTCCTTCCATCCATACACCTTAGGACCAGAAAGAGTTCCAGAGGCTTGGGTCAGTTGCTTGCTTTTGCCACTGGTCTCTTTGCTCACAAGCCATGCCTCAATTTTCCATCCAGAGAACAGGGATAAGTTGAGTCTGTGTAGTTGTGACAATTACCTTAAGGAATATGCAGCATCATGTTCTAGTGGTGTGTTTAACTGGAGCTGGGTGCTTTCTGCAGTATGAGTGGCTCTCAATGAAAAGCCTCATTTTCACTTGGCTGCTCTCAATCTGGCTGGCTTTTCTCAGATAAAGTTCATCCAGCATAACAGCTGGCTTTCCTCTCCCTTCCCTCCACTTTTGAAAGCTTGCTCTGGTCTGACACCTTCATCATCAGCAGAGTGTTGGGGATTGGGGCTTGGATGTTTGGACCTCTTGCCCTCTCCTTGTTGCAGGGTCACCAAGCCCATGCCAGGCCACTACTTCTGTGCAAGGCTCTCTCTCTGTCTTCTAAGGTTTTCTTTGCTGGGGTTGGTGGAATGCAGGGATTTGAGGGCCTGTGGATTCCTTAAGCACCTAAACAGGAGAATGCACTCGTCTCCTTCATAAAATGAGCAGCCTCCTTGAAGTGGTGGGGAAGGGAGGAGTTTATAGGTCTCAGGGACAGTTGGTAAACATTAAGAAGGATAGTTGTTATCAGCGGTGCAGAGTCTGGTTGGAGGCCTGTAAGTAGCGGTGTTCCCCAGGCAACTGTGCTGGGACTGGTCAAGGGAAGTGATCTGTTCTGCCCTGGTGAGGCCACATTTAGAATACTGTGTCCAATTCTGGGCTCCCCAGTTCAAAAAAGACAAGGATGTTTTAAAAGAAGCCTGAGGAAGGCCACAATGATAAACGGTGTTGAGCATCTCATACATGAGAAAAGGCTGAGTAATCTGGATCTGTTTGGAGGACTGAGGGGGAATGTGATTAATGTTTATAAATACCTAAAGGGAGGTGGGAGGCAAATGGATGAGTCCAGGCTCTTCTCGGTGATGCGTAGCAGTAGGACAAGGAGCAATCTCCTAAGACTTGAACATAGGAGGTTCCACACAAGCATGCAAATGAACTTTTTGCTAAGGGTGATGGAGCACTGGAATAGGTTGCTCAGAGAGGTTGTGGAGTCACCTCCTATGGAAATATTCAAGGCCTGCCTGGACGCCTACTTGTGTGACCTATTGTAAGGAACCTGCTTTAGCAGAGGGGTTGAATTTGATGATCTCTTGAGGTCCCCTACAACCTCTGCAATTTTGTGATTCCGTGACCGTGCATTGGGCTGGGTGGAGAAGAAGATTTTTTATCTGTTTTCTGGGGGCTAAAAACAGGTGTTCGGTGGACTGGGAGTTGCCTTGAAGGCAGAGAAGGATGCAAATGAACTGTGAGACATAAAAGGAGCCATTGGAATGCCATGTTCTGCCACTAAGTTTGCCTCCACCCTGAGCAATATGCATGTGTAAGCTGATCATTTGGTAGCCTCTTCCAGAAACCTGGACAAGTCCTGCCTCAAGAGACCCTTTCAAACCTAAAGATCTTACAGAGATCCAAAAAGAGACTGAGCCCAGAGGCCTAGTTGTTTACAGATAGGCTGGGAGATGGGTCTTGCTCAACAGGGTGGGCTGTGTCTGCTTTCCTGGCTGGGAGCTGGGTCCCTGAGGAGCCTGGGTGCTCAACCTTGGGCGTTTTCAGTAGTGAGTAACTGCTAACGATAACTCTCTGGCCCTGGATGAAGCTTTCTTCAGGTTTTGCAATAGCTGAGATAAGTCAACGCTGACCCTAGTGCACATAGCAGCTTAAAATCTTCTGTCAATGCAGTCTGGGCTCAGGGCCCAGCGGTGAGCTACTAAAGCTTACTGCCTGTTTGCTGTTGCAAAAACAGTGTAGCAATTAGTTTAAGCTTACCTGCGGGAGATTTTAGGCTGTACTTTGCCTAATGCCTGAGGGAACTGGGGCTGTTTAGTCTGTAATTGAGGAGGCTGAGAGGAGAGGAGAACTCATCACTAGCTGTGATCTTCAAGGTCTTTTCCAGTCTAGATGTCTCTATGAGTCTATGTTTCACACTGCAACGGGACACAAAGCTAATCTGTTACTCTAGCCCAGCAAAGTGGTAACGTGTCATGGGATGGAATCCCACCCGTGTCGTCAGCTTGGAATAATATACTTCTCTGAAAGAGTGGTCAGACAGTGGAATGGGCTGCCCATGGAGGTGGTGGAGTCACCGACCGTGGAGGTGTTCAAGGAACATTTGGATGTTGTGTTGAAGGACATGGTTGAGTGAGAACTATTGGTGATAGGCAGATGGTTGGGCTGGATGATCTTGTAGGTCTTTTCCAACCTTGGTGTTTCTGTGATTCTGTGATAATAGCACAGCTGGAGACCTCCTGGACAACATGGTAATACTGAATGTGGTCAGGAGAGGAGCTGAGCAATTCCCACATTGTCTTCCTTCTGCCCTGCCCACATTTTACACCAAAGCTCTGTCTTCATGCTTTTAATGAAGTAGATGCTTATGCTGTGATTTTGGCACCTGTCTCTTGTAGCAAGCATTTTTGGCTAATCCCTTACCCATGGATGGCAGTTCTCCCTCCTTGCTTGCTCTTCCTGTTGTATTTTTATTGCACAGTGGTCAGCAGTTGTGTGTGCTGTCTTGCAGAGTAATGCGCCCAACCTCAGCTCAGTGATGACTTTATTGTGCTACAGTCTAACTTTTTGCTGTTGACAAGCATTTCCTTAGCATCCCTGTAGGCCAAGATGCTGCCTCTTCATCACAAAGGTTGGATGTTCATTGGCTCTGTGTGTTGGTCCTTCCCCTTTCTGATTTCATTTGATATGTGCAGGATGTAATGATAAACACTTGGGCTTTTTCCTATTTCAGGCATTTTTGCTTCTCTAAAGGAACCCCATGGGATTACAAATGTTTGTGTGAATGCCCAGATCAGATCCTGTGAAGGGAACAGCAGGTTACACAGCCCCACAACCACACACTGCTTCATCCTTGCGCATGTGGGCACCACCAAAACTTTGGATGAAAAGTTTTGAGGCCTTCCATCCTCTCAGGATGCAGTTGCTATAAATCTGGAAAAAATAAACTCTGACGTTGTTCCATCTTGTCTTCCTTCAGCTCACTGCATTTTGCTCTCCATGTTCAGCTGCTCTTCATCAGTGGCTCTCACCATCATTGGAGCCAGAACGCGGTGGTGCTTGGGAGGAGCCCTTGAAGCAAAGCAGTCCATTCTGGTTTGGGAACTGGGTTGTGTGTATGACCATCTGGGTCTCACATGCAGGGTCTGGCAGAGGTCTTCAGGAATGACTGACATAGGTATTTCTTTTCTGACAGGTGAAGTGGGTGATTCATATACTTAGTTAACACTAAATATATGTTTTTTTCAAATATGCAAGACGAAGTACTGAAACGTATGCATATATTGTCTGCATTTATGATCAGAGCTAGCTGCTTATTGCTTCTGTAGCATCACAGCAATGTCATGTTTATGTGTTTTATGACATTCTAACCATGTCTTCTGGCTGGACACGGCAGTTAAACATTATAATACAGCAGTCATAAACCTGAACCATCTGATGACCATACCTGTTAATTCCTTAATGTTGCTTGTATATAAAGTGAGTTTAGTAATAACTCCTTGCTTTCTGGAAATAGAGTATGAATAGGACATTTGGAGCTGCTGTGCGGTTTCAGCAGTGGGCAGGTGTCTATGTTAGGCATCACAGGCTGTGCTCATCTTAGCCATGGGCGACATCTCAGAAAACGCCAGCATGCCAGGGGTTAGTGCACACACTTGGGTATCTCACAGTGAACTGGTGAGTTTAAGTTTTGAAAGCAATTTTACTGCTGCACACCACCACACGCTTTTTTATGTACGATGTTCCCTTCATGAAACTTCAAATAGTGCTCACATCAGGCTGAAATCAATATCTCCAGGAGAGATTAGGACAACTTCACTTGAGGTTTTTGTTGTGGTTTCTTGCAGGAGGAATAAAGAAGGTAGGATAACCAAGGTCAGCACCTCACTTCAAGCTATCAGTTGGACTGCTTGTGGGCGAGAGATATTAAATTACCATGTGTGTGTAATTTATCCGTTGTGCCAGTGACCAAGTAATCCAGTGAAATGGCAGCAAAAAGGACAGGGAAGTTATGAAAATTTGTGCTGTAAACTGAACTGGCAGGATTACACTCAGAGCTGTGTTTGGTTATCAGGTGTCACATTGTCTTCAGAAAGTACCTGAGAGGGATTTTACTCCAAGTTTTGCAATAGAAGTCTCAATGCCCATAAGAGGGGCAGAGCGCGTCTTTTCAAACAGGGGCTTTGTTGTTCCCTATCTGGGTGTTCTTCACAAGTTTTGGGCGTGCCAATTCTGATTATAGTTTGCATTTATTATTGCTTAATGTAATTAATGTCATCATTTGAAACTGATTAATTATTGGTTAATATCATAATATCCTTTACTACAGCTTACTTCTACCTTGTATTTATTAGCCTCATCTTTATAGTAGTGTTGCTAAATGCTTCTTAGACCTGGTGTGCCTCCTTTGATATCCTTAGGCACATCATCCAAGTGCAGGTTACAGGTGCTGACAACTGTCTGACCCATTTTCTTTTGTTTGCGGCCTCTCTGCACCTTATCTTGGTTTTTGTGAAGTAACTGAGCTAAATGCAGCACTATTGTAGTATAGTTTGTACTCATTTGACATTATTAACTTTCTTGCTTTATCTGGGTTAATTCTCAAGGATGGCATCCTGGCATTCTCTGCCAACATTGCTTTCTGTGTAGTTAATACAGAATTAACCTTAAAAGAATGGGTTTTGAAAACTATTTCCAATCTTCTGCTTATTTTTTCCATGTTTGGGCTGCTGATTTTAAGAAAATTGCATTTCAGAAGAAGGCTGCTTTGACAACACACTGTACACTGTATGATGCCAAGGAAATAATTTGCTGCAGAACCCCAGTACATGCAGTCCTTGTTTTTTTTTGTTTTTTTTTGTTTTTTTTTTCCTGGGATATCTGCTATGGACCTTCTGGCTGATTTTTCTCTTGTAAGATCCAGAGTGATCATCGTCTGTTGCGGTACGTGGGGCTCCAAGCCAAGAATATCCACTATTTTTGAAGCATGATCATTACTGTTCAAAATAGGCTTTTTTTTCCATGATCTTATAAGATTTTGCCCCTTCTCTAATAAGCTAATTTTATCCCTGCTTTGGCATCTGTACTCCTTAGTGTTATTTTGGTGTGCACTTCATACATATCATATATAGCTCTGTGCACACATGCATCACTGTATGTGATTTATACAAGCTTGTCTTGTCTGCAGTGTCAGAGGGGAATCGTTCTCACTTTTGTGATGGGGGTGTCAGGTCAGATGTGTCGAGTCCATTGCCAGACCTTTCTGTGACCTGTCCCAGTTTGTTTCCCTTCATCCCTAAATGATACCATTGCTTCTCCCAGGCAAGAGAAGATGTGAACCATCCACCACTCTTGCTGTATGAAGGCAAGGGGTGCCTTTATGACCTGCTACTTCTACTTCTCTGTCAGCTATTCCTGGAATGATGGCCTGTGTCACTGGAGACTGCTTCAGAAAGTTTGTGAGACAGACATTAAGTCTAGTGAATGGAAGAAAATATTTGTCACTGTCTTTATTTGTCACTGCACCCATTGTCCTTATTTCTAGAAAAAAAAGACTTAAGTTGCACAGCCATCTTCTCTTCCTTCTTGACCTCCACCTCACATCTTTCTGAATGAGTAATTCTGAATGGATTGGCATCAAGATGGCATTTTGCCTTGCTTTGGGTAGCATACAACTGAAAACTAAAATTTCCTTCTGAGGTAATCTGGTAGGGATGGATTTGGATGGTGCTAGGGCCTTAATGCTCCAACTTAATAACAGGGGAAGAGGAATCCAACAGCACCAACATGCTCTTGGGGCAGAAAAGGAACCAGATTTAACCCTAAGGTCAAGTCATGGAGGAGAAATGATCCCTCGTGGTCAACTCCAACCTGAAGGAGCCCAAGGAGCATGATGGCTATTTGACTGACCCATCTTCTGGTTCTGTTCAGAAGATGTTGTTCCTATTTCATGGACATTAATGACCTTTGTTTCATTGTCGTGTCTTTAAGGACTCGAGATGGTGTTTGCAGAGGAGGTACAGACCTGGTCTGCCATGACCATGTCAGTTTTATGTATTTGCATAATGTAAATGCCAGCCCAGCTGAATTGTGACAAGTGTATTTGTTGTAGGCAAATAAAGGTTTTCAAGAAGCTGTGGAGTTTCTAGTTTGATAATCTGAGAATAGGTACTTTAAAAGGTATGTTTTGTGGTATGACATGCAGGGTTAGTTCTTTCAAGACAAAAGAAGGATAAAAGGATGAAATTATTACAACCAAATTTGACATGTACCCTGACTACCAGTTTTGAGGTTGTCAGCTGAGGGAGGTGTTATGTCTAAGCAGAGCATCAGAGTCTCATACAAGGGCCTTAGTGTGTTCAATTTTACCTTGATTTTACATCAAGTTGCTGTGTTGTGGTTTAACCTGGCAGGCAGCTCAATTCCACGTAGCCATTTTCTCACCTCTCCTTCCCAGTGTGATGGGGGAGAAAATCAGAAAAAAAACCCAACAACACAAAACAGAGCTTGTTAGTTAAGATAAAACTATTAAATAAAACAGAAAAGGAAAAGGAAAAAAATAATAGTAAATAACCACAAAACAAGCGATACACAACACAATTAATTGCTCACCACCCACTGGCAGATGCTCAGCCAGTCCCCTGAACAGCTGCTACCCCCCCAGCCAACTCCCCACTGTTCTTCAAGTTTTTTTTTTGCATGATGCCATATGGTATGGAATATCCCTTTGGCCAGTGTAGCTCAGCTGTCCTGGTTCTGCCCCCACCCAGCTCCTTCTGCCCCCGCAGTCCCCCTCACTGGCAGGACAGTACAAAGAAACTAATAACTGAAACATCCCTGGCTCTCTGCAGCACTCTCAGCAACAGAAGAAATGGCCCAGCAGAAACCAGGACATGCTGGACTGCAGAAAGATGCGACTCTTATTTTGAGGAGCACCACAGCTTGCCACCGGTTAATCAGATTAGCACTTGTGGTCCTCTTCCTCAGTACTGGGGCTGTTACTGTTGATTTCATCAAAACATATTCTTTTCTGTAAAGAAAGGAGTCCTTACAGTTTGGTGGAGGCCACAGAGGTGTCAAAACGTTGAGCCTGAGGTTTTTAACTTATTGTCACCTTTTTCAGTGAGAGCTCTGCTGAAGCTGAAAAGGTTTCAGCAGTGTGAAATTGCCGAAGGAAAGGAAACGCTCAACATTTTCAGCTTCACAGTCACCCAAGCCATAGCTAGTTCCGGAAGGGTCGATGAGTGTATGGACATGAGTAAGCCTTCTGAGACTAGTGTGGGCTCTATCAGACCTAGCAGGGCTTTCCCAGGTCAGACCCGGAGCTCTCCACTCGAGATCTGAATGTCACTGCAGCTGCACCTACAGGAAGGCTTTGGCTAACGCTGTACAGTAAAAAATATCTATTGTTCCCTTAATAGACAAAGCTGTAACAGGAAAAATGTCTTATGTCAACCTGGCCTTTGAAATACAAATGAGTAAGAGCAACCTCACTTTTAAATGTCATCATGTGCTTTGTGTGCTCACTTTGTAATTTGCTTTTCTGTGGTTACTGCATTTCAGGGCTTTTGCTTCAAATGATGTTTCAACAAAAGGGAAAGGAAAAGAAAAGGCATTTCTGGTGTTGCATGGGGAGTTTTGTGGGGTTGCACTGACTCTGCTTCTACTTTTAAGCATCAAGACAGGCATTTTTTTCCTATAAAGTACCTGCTGATGGTGGAAATACCGGAAGCCTTGTTTTCTTATTTCATGAAGTTTGAGAGAAAGGTGCATGAAGGAGCACTGTGCATCTCTGCTTAGCAAGCTTGGCTTTTTCTATATGCCCCACGTCTGATTCAGAGTCCTTTGGGTCCTGGTGGCTTGCAGTGACATAATGAAACTTCCTCTTGGTGAGGATGGACATCCAGTGCTTGCAGCATGGCATGTGCCATCCAAGTACCCTGCTTGCCAAATCGCCTTGTTTTGTTCATTGTCTTCTGGATGGGGCACCTTTGGGGTTGCTTGAAGTCCTGCATCTGCTTGGTGGGCATCTATTCCTTCAAAGTGAATCTTGAAGTGTGTGCAGAACTGATTCTGGAATTGAGTAGGTCCTTCTTCAGGTGGAACAAACTGTTATTTGGAGTTACACTATGATGGGCTGACTGGTTTGGCTGTTTTTGGTCTGTTTGTGATTAAATCTGATGGTGACAATAAAAACAGAACAAAAAATGATGTGAAAAGTGAATAAAAGCCTTGGAAGGATATTTTGGGTTGCCAGAGGATCTTAATCCACAGAAAATTAATTGTTTTAAAGTAATTCAATGACTAGTTTGAGTCGGCTTTGCAGACTCCTGTCTGAGCAATGGACATTTCTGTGGAATTAATCAGAAGGAACTGCAGTTTCTTTTACCATGGGCAAAAATAGCCCTCAGACTGAGGACAACGTGTAATAGCAATGACTGTAGCTGTTGACTTAGCCAGAAATTCACAGCCAGTAATAAACACAAAAATCATCAGGAAATATGGACTGCTGAATCTGTGCTGAAATTCGCTCAGCTTTATTGCGGTGAGTGGGTAAGGGGGTGAGAAAGGAGTTTTAGGGTGAGGTGCTGAGACTGGAGGCGTACTGTGAGGTGGGATGGAATTGGTGGGACAAGACAGCATGGCATGGGATGGGATAGCAGGGGATGGCATGGCATGGCATGGTATGGGGTGGCATTGGATGCTACAGGGTAGGATGTCCATGTACATGCAGGGGAGTGGCAGATCCACAGTTCATCTGTCCTGGGATTCAGCAGTTTGCAGAGTTGAAGGCCAGTCAGTGGTAATGCTTGCACTGTTCTAATTTGATAAGGTGGATGATCTGTTTTGAAAACAAGAATGGGGGGAGTGGACGTTTTTTTCCCACTTTGTTGATGCTGAAATACCATGTTTCAATGTCCTGTGTTTTAGGATATTTAGATGTACTTTACAACTTGATTTTGTATTTTTCATGTTTATCTGCCACTCAAAGTGAGCTGCATTTGAAGTAGCTGTTGAAACTCCCCAGGCTGCCCTGGAACCGCTACATCATCCTGGTAGCAGCCCTGGGCAGGGAGGAGATGCTCTCCACTTTCAGGTGGCCCAGAGAAGGGCTCGTCCTACTCTGACTTTCATGGCTCAGCTGGTGCAAAACTATGTTCATGCCATGAGGGAGACTGAATTTATCCTGTCAGGTGTCTAGAAAGGGGTGATATGAGCAGCATCGTGTTCTCACTTTGTTTTAGCACTCACAGCCTTGCAGACCTCGTATTTTGACATTTTCCGAATTGGTTGGTAATATGCAGTGGGCTTTCAGCTCATTCTCCAATTTTTCTGTCTTTCAGTGAAGATTTTCCCCTTTCTGCTTTAAGCATGTAACTTAAAACCACAAACAGTCTGGTGATGTGGAGCAGGCTGCTGGTGCTCATCCCCGTGGCACTTAAAGCCCAGAGAATGGTTTAAGTGGGAAGATTCTACAGAAAGTGGTCAAATTATAAAATGGCTTAGGATGGAAGGGACATAAAAATCATCACAGAATCACAGAATCACAGAATTGTAGGCGTTGGAAGGGACCTCCAGAGGTCATTGAGTCCAATCCCCCTGCCAAAGCAGGTTCTCTACATCAAGTTCCTGCCATGGGCAGGGCTGCCCCCCACCAGCTCAGGCTGCCCAGGGCCCCATCAATCCTGGCCTTGAATGCCTCAGGAGATGGGGCATCCACAGCTTTTTTTGTGCCAACCATCCCAGTGCCTCATCACTCTCTGTGTAAAGAATTCCTTCCTCACAGTGCCATTTCTGGGGTGAAGCCCCAGCCCTGCCACTCACCACAGCCTCCTACGAGGCGCCTGCACACAAAAAGCTGGGATTTAGTGTGGCAAAACAAGGAGTTGTGAAGAGGCTTGGGGACAGCAAGTCTGTGCCAGCTCACAGTTTTGTGTAAGTTAAATAAATGTTGTCTTTTGAAGGAAGGTGTTGAAATGCTCCTGTGGCCTGTTAAAAACAGTGGTGCGTTGGGTGAAGAGCTGCCATCCCCTTTTTCCATTTCCTTCTCCATTTCTCTTTCCATTTCCTTTTCTGTTTCCATTAATAACTAAGTTTTTCTGCTTCATGCTTCTTTAACTTTTTGTTCACTTACGACTTTCAAGGTGTGCTTTTACTGAGTTTAAATGCTTTGCCTTTGCTTTGTTGAAAATCACACCAGTCAGTTGAATGACTGCTGTTATCTCAGGTTTCCCCGGGTCTTCCCATGGGCTGCTTTTGATTTCAAAGGTACATTTGTTGTAAAAAGGAAGATTTCCACAAAAATGCCCATTGCACCTTCGTCTTGTTCACACAGGGCTCCTGTTGAGCAGCTGTCCCATTTTACCGAGCAGCTGGAGTTAGAGGCTGATTAAAGGAGTGGGAAACCTCTTTTCATTTATTTCTGCTGCATGTATGTAACTATGGGTGTGCTCTGCTTTTGGGTGAGCTCTGCTTTTGGGTGAGCTCTGCAGGGAAGACGTGCTTAACGTGACTGAGCCTCTTCTTTTATAAGTTCAGAATTGATCCACATTTACCACTTGCTTCTTCTTTGAGAGCTTTTGGTGAAGGGGATTAGTTAAATCCACATTTTTCCTTCAGTTAGTTTTGCTCTGGGGTGGAGCTCATCGAATAAAGTCCTCCTGGGGATGATGTGGGAATGAGAAGGGTGATGGGCATGTCACTTTGTCTCCATGCACCTCATGGTTCTCAGCACTGGGTGCTCCTCCTGCTCAGCACTGACCACCTTCGCTCCTTCTTCATGCTAAGATAGCTGCATTTCAGCTGAGGCTGCACAGCACCTCTCCATACACTTTTTTTTTTAACATGAATTTGCAAGGGAAGGTTGGTTGATGTTGGATCCAAGGCTCTTCCCTATTGTCATGTTGCAGAAGAGCAACAAAGCTGCCAAAACTGCTGGGAGTGAAAAGTGTTAGGTCTCAGTGTCTGCATTTGGTCCAGAAACAGAAAATGGGAGCAGACTGAGTCTGATGGATCTGGCAGCCCATGAACTCCCCCCTTTACTTGCTTTCCTTGTATAATTACAGTAATGGAAGTCACTGACACTGCCCAGCTGAAGAGGAGCTGCATGGTTTTGCTGGGCATTGCAGGCACTTCCTAATGCATCAGCGCCGGTGAGACTCGTGGGTGCAGCCTTCACCCTGTCCCTACCAACAGGCTCCAGTCTGGCTGCTCCCATCTAATAGCTGGGAAATTAGGGCTGGGAGCGAGCAAGAACTGCTTGCAGTGATGCAGAGGGCTTCAGTGGTGAAGCAGAGGCTGAAACTCAAGCAGGGAGCATATGAATGAGGTGCTGAGCACTTTGGATTGGCATGATGCACTTCCACAGCCTTGCAGGATACTTGTGTAATTTTTCAGATAGATGAAGCAGTAACTAAGCCAGCTGTGACTCCACCAAAACAATTTCCAATGACAGTATTGAAGGAAAATAGAAAAATCAAACATTGAAGTGTATGGAGGTCTGCCTCAGGCAGTTTTCAGTGCCTACAGGGCAGGGAGCTGGGGAGAGGAGGAGTTAGATGGGTTAAAGTCCAGAGAAGGATATTGAAATACATGAGCCATCCCTGGGAAAGGTGGATCTGCAAGCACTGGGTGAAAGAGCATGAGGAGGGGGGTGGGTTAGGTGGGGGTGTGGATTCCAGGAAAGAATTTATTTCTTAGATTGCAGATGCTTGATGCTATTAGCATCCAAATGGCTCCTGCTGCCCTTTGAAGTCAGCATCTCATTGAGAAGTAAAGAGTAAAAGAGGTGTGGGGAATAATGAATTTATTTCATTTCTGGCTGGTGAATAAATTTCTTTGCAATGTTGAGTTAGCAACGAGACCGTGCATGGTTTATTTTGGGAGCACTGTTTCTTGGAAACATGAGGCATTTATCACTTCTATGATTCTATGACTTTGTACTTTGGCTGTTTTTGTTGTTGTTGTTTTGCTGTTTTGTTATGGGGTTTTTTTTGTGTGTCTTAATACTCAAACTTGCATTATACAGAAGACAGCAGAAAACCACAAAACTGGAGCCTCAGTAATTTCTTTACACCCACCATTTGCCAGTATTCTGGATTGGAAACCAACCACAGCAGCTACTGACAGTCTCATTCCTCCTCCATGTGAACCTCCTTCCAGGGAACTGTGATAATTCCCACCTCCATTTCCTTTGCAGACTGGGGTTTCATGACCATTAAACCTCTTCCTGGAACCATGGGATGGCCCCACAGTGCTTTTGATCCAGGTCAGATGTGCGCTTCTCTGTGGGATGAGAGTCCAGCAAGTCCAGCCATCAGAACCTACCTAGACCCGATGGAGCTGCATGCTCTGACTCGTCCCTACCAAAATGTCCCCACACCCTGCCCCAAGGCTGTGCATTCCTGGGTGCTGGTTGCCTGTGCCTCATGAAGTCTTTCCACCAAACTCATCAGTTTGGCTTCGTTCTGCATCACCACACTGACACTGTGCAAGCTGCAAGCCACCAAACTGTACCTTTGAGCCATCTCATGGGGCACATGTCTCACAGTGGCTTGGCTGCTGGGCCACGCAGCGTGGGATGCGCAGCACACTGTGAGGAGAGCACTAAGCTGGGAGAATAGCGTCCCTAATTCAGGTTGATGCTGGAGCTCTTTCTGCAGACCATTTCAAAGGGCGTTTTGTTTTTTCTCTTCATTCACTGTTCACAAGTGTTCTTTCACTTGTGCATTTTGTGCAATTTTAAAAGCTTCTTGCATGTATTCCTTTCCTCTTATCCTAGATTAAGTGGCTGTCTTCTCTTCTTTCTTAGCTGGCTTGTTCATGCAGAGGCAGGGAGTAGCAAAACATGTTTTTCCTTCTGAAAAGAGAGAAAATAAATATGTTTGATACCTGAGAATAGTTTTTACTGTTCATCTGAGGCAGCTTGAAATCCTTAGGGAAAATCAGAATTGTTCCATTAGGATGAGCTGCTTGCAAGCATCCTGCCAAACTGGAACAGCCCTTCAAGCTGTACTGAAATGAATTAAAACTCTCCACAGATAAGCACAGCATAGGGTATAATTTTATTTCAACAGATGGAAAAAGTCCAGTACATCATCTCCTTTTATTTCAGTGTGTGGTTGTCTTGTCACCCATGTACATATAGAAGTATGCTTTCTTCACATGTATTTGCTGAGGCACTCAAGCTAAATGTGATTGAGCCTGGTGGTTGCTGGGATGGTTCATCATGCATGTCCAGGTGCCATCTGTACACAGGGAAGCTGGCGGTGCAGTAAATGGCTGTTTTCCTTCCTATAAGAAATGCATGTTGGCATTGCTTTTTGATGATCGCTTAGGATCTTAAAGTTTTTGTGCTTTCACATTTATTTTTGTGATGGCTAAATTTCAGTTCACTTAATTCCCTGTGAACAATTCTTCTTTTGTTAAATAAACTATTCCTTGCAAACCATAGCAGTGATGTCATTGTTGTTGTGGAGGTTTGGGTTGGGTTGAGTTGAGTTTTAAGCAGCTGTTGCCACCCAACAGTGGATTTCCCTTCATTATATATCTTCCAAATACACCTTTTAACTGGTTTTCCACCATTCTCACCTTATGGATTCCTAAATATTTTTATCTAGTTTTGTGGAAGTGAGAGTTCCTCTCGAGGAAAAGGAAGCCTCCTGACAATAAGCTTGCCTTTCTTAGTTGTTTTCTGTGAACTTGTATGGTATGCTATGCAGATCTCTGTAAAGTTCCCAAAGCAATCAGCTTGAAAGCCACCATTCAAATGGGGCAGTGATGTACACTTAAATCTGTTTTTTTCTAGTAGTTATTGGTTATGTCTGCTGTGGAATTTCTGGATCCTATTGGGTCCATAGTGGGTTTATAACCCTCCCATTCTCATGGAACTGTTGTGGAAGACAGGATGAAAGTCTGCTTGCCATTTGCCCAGAGCACGCACCTCGTACATACAAGCTTGGGCAGAGCATTGTGTTGATGTGGCTCCATGGCTTTTGTCTTAAGCTGAATTGAGTCCAGTTGACCTTAGCACAAGTGGAACATGCCGAGGTCTGCCCAAATTTGTGTAGGTAGACATATCCCACTAGGATTCTGTCAAATTCTTGCTTCATCTGCTCATCTCAGTCCTAGACCTTGCCTTTGGCTGCACCTAGCACTGGGCGTATAGAACATGCATGGCTATAATCACAGTGATGCTGAAAATGCCTGCAATTTAACAACATTGTGTTAATAAAACAGAGGGAGTTGTTTATGTCCAACTAAGCAAAATCCTGTTGTTTCTCAGAGAAAAGTGATTTCATCTTTGGAGCAACTCTGGCCAAAAGCTCTTAAAGGACAGGTGATTACAAGACGAAAAACACAGTGTAGCCCAAGAAACACTTTTGTGTGTGTGTTTGCAAAATTTTTTGTTTTGAGCCATGAAAAATCCTTCCGTCTGAGGCTCTAGTGTGGGACGGGGGGAAAGCAAAGCAATTCCCTCTTGCATGGGGCAGGCTGGCAGTGGTGGGGGCTGAGTCCCAGCAAGGAGCACTAGAAATGGTAAGAGAACTCTCACTATTTCTAAGGTCTAGTGAATTTTCTGTGGCTTTTGCCTGGCTTCTCTTTTTTCTGTGCTGGCTCAAATCAACTTCAAATAACGGATGAAAAATAAAGAAAAAATTGATGCAGTGCATGTCTCATATGACTATTGGTTTTTCATTACGCAGTGAGCTGGTGGCACTGGCAGTAGTGTGGGGCATGATCATCCCCCTTAGCATTGCGGATGAACTGGCTGTGTAAGCTCTTTCTGAACACACATAGACAAGGGAAAGTCGTATCCACAAGGAATGTGTTTTTTTTCAAAGATACCTGTACATCTGCTGAGTAGCATCCACAGAATCTTGTGAAGCCACTTTGCTGAATTGCCAGTGTCAGAGCTGCCTGACGTGTTCCTGGCCATAGGATGCCTTCTGTGCTACCAAGAGGAATGCTCGTAGCAACAGATAGGAATGTTCTGTGATTTAATTGAGAAGAAATGTGACATTTTATATACTCAGATGCAACAACAGTGCATCTGACTAAAGTATAGGCAGGCTCTTATTGCACTGTGAAAATGCCATCAGGCAGCTTGTGGTCTCCTGGCTACATTTTGTGAGTGGATTTTTGGGCCGTTTTCTGTGCTGTAAAAGTAGGATTCATACATAGTACTAAGGATTTCAGACCTTGATAAGTGTTAAACATGCTATTCACGCCACTGCGACAAGAGGAGCATTAACTGTGCTCCAACATTCACCTTGTACAAATGGTGAATCAAAGACTGTCCATCCCCCAAGGAGGTCATGGTCTGGAACAGTGACAGAAGGATGTGGTTGAATACATGCAGATGGGAGTGTAAAATGAAAATGCCAGGATGATATTGATCATCTTGTCAGATGCATCTCAGGACACCAGGACAGTTACTGTGCGTTTCTTGTAAATGTCATGGCAAAAGAGAGTTTTGATGAAGTCTGTGAGATTGTTTGGCAGATATCAGGGGAATTCCTACCAGACAAGAAAGGGAGCAGGAAAGGAGAAAGTATCATTTCCTGTCAACATGTTTTATATTGATTGGCCCAGGAGATCTGCTTGCAAAGAAGTAGATTCTGTAAGAGTGAGCAGCAGGTAACAGTGTAGGACCTGAGTTATGCCTTGAGCATTAAGGAGCTCTTGTGTGATGAGGGAGGGAAAGGGGAGTTTTGAGAAGGTGAAGAGGGATAGAGAAAACAGATATTACATCTCTGGAAGGGTTGTTGGGTTGGCTGGGATATGGGGAGATAAAAGCTTAGATGGCAGCAGTGGATTTGGATGCTGGATGAAAGAGCATCCAAAAGATGTCCCAAGACATTATTTTGAACTGAAGTAGAGAGGGAAGTTTCTGGGTCATGTGTGAGGAGAAGAGCTGGGTGTGTGTTTTGATGGAGGTGAAGGGAAGGTAGAAGGGACCATGAACTCCCTCCTTTGATCATGGTCAAAACCTACAGAAGGGAGCTCTGAAGTTGGGCTGGGGAATTAGGAGGAGATAGGAAAGGAGCAAGGCAGGATTGTTGGGAATTCTGACCTTTGGTTAAAAACCCACTGCATTTTTCAGCAAAAGCGTGAACAAACAAATACTGTTAGTGCATCCAGATCCATGCTGAATTCTCTGTAGCTAAACCTATACAGGTAGTGAAAAGGTTTGAGTGTAACATGATCAGCATTTGCATTGTGTGTGTGTGTGTCAGGGACCTGTGCTGCACAGCAAGGTGCCTCTGCATGCTCCCATTCCATTACTGCGCACTTGTGATGGGATCCTATTCCCATAAAATAGTCATGTGCTGACGTCTCCTCCTGGTTACACGAGCTGGCTCTGGAAAACCTCAGCTCCTAGATTACAAACATAGCAGGGCTCTGTCTGCAAAGGTGTAAGGTTACAAAACACACACACACTCACGCAGCTTAACCGAAACCGCCTCATTTTTAGCAGTTGTGAGGGTTTATTCACTACAGGGCAGTGGAGGAATGCAGGAATGTGAGTGGCATTAAACCTATTCATTTGGAGGGGGAGTCCTCTCCTCTCCCCTGCTCCAGCCTGCTTAGCTTTAATGGTAATTGCACCTCTTGCCTGGCTGAGCTGGCCGCCTGCCTGCCCTCCCAGTGCAGCTGGGGAGAAGAACTGGAGCCAGGAGGAGCAAAGTAGCTGTCAGTGTGAGGTGGCTGTGTCTGTGCGGGGCTGTCCCTTGTCCTGTGAGCCCACAGCCTCCCTGCTTTAACCTACTGCTTGGATGGTGATAAGGAGGCATGCTTTTTGCTGTGGAGTTTAGGCAGGGAGGAGGAGGACAGTCATTGCATAGCTCCTATGTATTGTGCAGGGGAATGTATTTCCTTTTTATTTTTCTATACTTTGTGCTTGAAATTAATCATCCCCACACACATCTAACAGTACCTTGGCATTTAAAAATCAAATATTGATCCTAAAAGCCCTGCCACTTTAAAAAAGAAAGGAAGAAAACCAAACAAACACAAAAAGCAGCGTTTTTTGTTGGCTTGTTAAGAATGTGAGAGATGCAGTAAAATCGGCTTTTTGGTTTATGCGTGCTGCCCGTTCCTGGGGGAGGAATGCGGTCCTCTGCACGGCCAGCTGCCACCGTCACCACTTCCAGCCCTGCTGCTGAGGTTTCATGTGAAGCCAAAGAGCCTGGGAAGTTTGGGAAACCAGTGACACCGGATCCATACCACAAAGGTGAATGCCGCCTGCTAGCTGTGTGTGTGTGCAGAGACACAGTGGCTCCAGCTTTTGCCTCCAGGAGTGAGCTGCCCACAGACAGTCATGCTGACAGTGTAATAGAAGCAGCTGCGTGTGAGCCCCAGAGATATTTGGAGGTTTTTGTTTAAGGTCTGTCCTCAAAGGGTGCTGCCTTGAAGGGTCTTTGGTGAGGATGGATGCAGCCTAACCCAGTCAGTCTGTCCTGCCACTAGCTGGGGACACCAGCACTTCCAGTGATGCGTGCTGCTGGGAGACAGCTTTGAGAGTTGTGCCTGTAGGGTTAAATTAGTGATGCTTTCAAGGCTGGGATGCATTCCGAGTATAGCAATTGCACTTACTGATACTGGGAAATCTTAGTTCAACCCTCTTTCTCAGCAGGTCTGTATGATGGTGAATTGGTGGGTGTGTACTGGGATGGAGTTGAGATGCTCAGATGCTTCTTTACTGCCTTGTTCCTGTGCTTCATCCAGACAGAACTGAAGCAGAAGTAGCCCTCCGTGCTCCACTGTCAGACACATTCATTTTTGGTCGTGGGCATCACTGGTGGATTGCTCCTGTCCTGTCCAGTCCTATGGTAATGTTGGCAGACTTCTCAGGAGGTGTGAACTTCGGACACCATCCTTAGTTGTTACAGTGATAATCCTTTAGTTGTTCATTTGCAAGATAGTTTAGGAGGTAGAGAGAAGGACAAATGAATTAATATGAGGAATGTGAGGGGATGGGTGGGCAGCACAGGGTCAGTAGAGCGAGTGGATTAATTAAAGAAGAGCAAACAGTAACCTCATGTGTCTGTGGCAAGGTGAGAAACACTGTTCTCTCCACTTGACCCATTTAGTGCCCTGGATTGTGAAGCAGCAGTTCTTCACAGCATTCAGGAGAATAGAAATACATTGCTTCATCTTATAACTTTGAACTAAAATAAAGGAGATTTAGGTAGGACATTAGGACGAATTTTTTCACTGAGAGGGCAGCGAGGCACTGGCACAGCCTGCCCAGAGCAGCTGTGATTGCCCCATCTCTGGAGGTGTTCAAAGCCAGGTTGAAAGGGACCCTGATCCATTTGGTGGGTGGCAGCCCTGCCCGCAGCAGGGGGTTGGGACAGGGTGGGCTTTGAGGTCTCTTCCAACCCAGATCTTTCTATGGTTCTGTGATCTTGGTGGTCCTCCAGTTGGAGTCCTACTCTCTATGGGCA